ACTTGTAATCGGTATGGCATAAATGCAGCATACCAATTTGTACAAATTCGGCAGTGACAACTTCATTTTATTCTACCATTGTAGAGGATCTTCGATAATAGATTCTGACATATGTAAATACTTTTTAACTTGGACAAGAATAGGATGGAATAATACTTGTATGTTTCGCAGCCAACTCCAATCGTAATTTTTTAACTTCAAGAAGCTCACACGACTTATTAAAATAATCTGCTTCTTTATTAGATGCCATATTATGAAAAAGTAAAACTAAACGTGAGAATCTAACTTATTATATATATCATAAAAATAATAATCTTATATTTGGTGATTAATATAGAAGCTGTTGCAATATAAACTATGTAAGACTTAAATATGTACTACGCTTAATTACAATATTAAGCCTAGATTTTGTAAATCTAGCTACTGTAAATTACCTAGACTAGGTATTGCTTGTTGTTAGATATCTATATATAGTTTAGTGGACAAAATTCATATTGGGGGAAGAGGTACTTCCCAATTGGGATACCTCTTCTCCATCCCTAGAGATTAACGGTGCGGGGGGTGCCCGGAAGCATGCTCAGCGATTCCCGGGCACCCTTCAGCTAAGTGCCAGAGGTGAACACCCGCAGGAGTTTTAGTGGGTAAGCCCGCATACGGGAGAGTCCCACATAACCCCGGCCCTAACCCGGGGCTGAGGTATGCGTAAAGCATTTCCCCTGCAAAAAAAAAGGCCGGCCCTCCTTCGCAATCGGGAGAAGGGCGTCGTGGCTGGGTGCGCGAAGCCACCCGCATTCAGGCCCTGTACAGGGCGAACCGACGCAAAGCGGTCCGAGAGGTGCTGCAGGGGCCCGCTGACTTCTACCAAGTGCCGAAGAAGCGGGTCCAGCAGTATTTCAAAAGACTATACTGCGGAGGGGAGGATCTGCGCGACCCTGGTGTAGAAGTGGAGCAACCCCTCGAGTCAGGGCGAGGATGCTGCTGTTTTATGAATCTCTTTACGTGGCAGGAAGTGGATTGTCGGGTCCGGCGTATGACGAACTCTGCGCCGGGTCCCGACGGTATCACTTACCGTAACCTGCGTGCAGCGGATCCTGGCATGCGGCTTCTCACCGCATGTTACAATGCGTGTCTCAGGCTCGAGGCAGTCCCCGCGTCCTGGAAAACCTCCAAGACCATATTGGTCTATAAAAAAGGCGACCGGAATGATTTAAATAATTGGCGCCCTCTCGCGCTAGGAGACACGACTCCCAAGTTTTTTGCGGCGCTCATCGCCGATCGTATGACCGATTGGGCGATCAAGTCTCGGAAACTAAGTCCGGCGCAGAAGGGATTCTTGCGGGACGAAGGGTGCTATGAGCACAATTTCGTCCTTCAGGAGATCCTGACGCACTGCCGGAAGACTCGGCGGTAGGTGGTTGTTGCGTGGTTGGATCCTTCCAATGCTTTTGGGTCGATCCCCCATTCGACGATCCGCGCTTTCGTTCGCGCCGGGGTGCCGGGGGGCATCATTAATGTATAGAATTCCATGTATGATGGTTGCTCCACGCGGGTGCAAACGGTCGACGGGCTCACTGCGCCTATCCCTGTTTGCTCGGTGGTGCGGCAAGGTTGTCCGTGGAGCCCGATTGGTTTCGACCTCGGTATTGACGAAGTACTGCGTGCAGTCACTGCGGTCGATGCGGGGTTGGAACTATTGAGCTCACGCTTTAACATCCTAGCATACGCGGACGACATTGCACTCGTTGCCGACTCGCCCGAGGGAATGCGGCGGCTTCTTGCCGCCGTAGAGGACGCAGCGCTGTCGGCGGGGTTGCGGTTCAACCCTGCTAAGTGTGCTACCCTGCACGTCGGTGCGGGGGCGGGCAGCAGGGTTCTGCTCACAGCGTTCGAAATTCAGGGACAGCCTGTTCATCATCTGGCGGAGGGCGAGTCTTATCGCCACCTTGGTGTCCCAACTGGATTTTCGGTTGACGCTACGCTATTTCAGACTATTGATGGTCTGCTTGGGGGTCTTCGGGTGGTAGACCGATCCCTGCTTACCCCGTGGCAGAGAGTCGAAGTCGTTGCAACACACTTGTTGCCGCGGATGGACTTTCTGCTTCGGGGGGCCGCAGTGGAGAAGCGTCCATTGATAGCTGCGGACAAAATGGTCCGGAGGGCTGCTAAGGCCTGGCTCAATCTCCCGCAGCGTGCACAAGCGCGGAACCAGTTTACCTTCCTCCCAGCCGGGGGGGATGTGGACTGCTTCCGCTCGCCGACCTCGCGGACGTCCTGTTCGTCGCGCACGCTTTCCGTATGCTTACGGTTAGCGATGGGACGGTCAGGGGGTTCGCGTGGGCGTCGCTGCGTGAGGTTGTAGCTAGGCGTATCGGTCATCCTCCCAGTAACGAAGAGCTCGCATCTTTCCTCTCGGGTTCACTCGAAGGTCGGATGCGAGAGGGCGGGGAGCGCTCACTGTGGTCGAGGGCTCGGAATGCTGCGCGGAGACAGTTCGAGAGATTGTCGCTCCGGTGGGAATGGTGTGCAGCTACCGAGGAGATGATGGTGATATGCGGGGGTGCCAAAGGCGCGACGGTGAAAATGCCACCAGGAGCTCGCTCCCAGGTGGTACATCGCTTGCGCTCATCTGTGATAGAATATTATACAAACCGGCTGTTAAGCAAGTCCGATCAAGGGAAAGTGTTCAAGGTGTCGTTGCGAGCGAGGGCGAGCAATCACTTCGCCCGTAATGGCAGCTTCACCCGCTTCGCCGACTGGCGCTTTATCCATCGCGCCAAGTTGGATGTCCTCCCTCTTAACGGTGTACGCCGTTGGGAGGAGCCGGACAAAAGGTGTTGGCGTTGTGGGGGGGGGGGGGCAGCCGAGACCCTTCCCCATGTTTTAAATCATTGCGGCGTCCATTCTGCCGCCATGCAGCTGAGGCACGACGCCGTCCTGCTCCGCCTCTGAAAGGCTTGTCGACTTCCAGGAAATAAACGGGTCAACCAGCGGGTCGAGGGCGTCGAGGGAGAACTTGAGGGGCTACGACCTGATCTTGTGATCAGGCACAAGCCCTTCAAGAGTATCGTCATATGCGACGTGACGGTGCCCTCTGAGAACCGTTGGCAGGCGTTCAAGGACGCAAGGGAGAGAAAACTTGCCAAGTATTCTCTCTTGCTGAGGCGCTCCAGCGCAAGGGGTACCGTGTGGTCGTGACGGCCTTCGTCGTCGGCTCCCTTGGCTCGTTAGATCCGACCAATGAGGGGGCGTTGAGATTGCTGCGCGTGGGCAGCGCGTACGCAACTATGATGCGCCGTCTAATTGTCTCGGATACTATTCGCTAGTCAAAAGACATTTACGTGGAGCATGTGTCCGGCGTGCGCCAGTACGCCGCTCTTTCGCGTCCCTCCGCTGATGGAGTACCGGCCACTCCGCCTCGCGTGATTTGCCGGCGTTGGCCCACCAACGAATAGGAACGGCGCTAGTTTTCTTCTTCTTTTAGTCCCTTGTGATTTTGTGTGTTACGAGAATGAATATCGCGTAAATTATTATTTTATGCATTAAGTGGCCACGAAAGTCACATAATTTATATTTGTAAATAGCTCGATGTCTTGCCCATGATATTCTATACTGTACGTCTTTTTCCCTTTTTTTCTATTTTTTTTCTCCTTATTTATATACTTCTGTACTTTTGTACTTTTTATCTTTTTTCTCTTATTTTGTATTTTTTTTCTATTTCTAATTTTTATTTTTATTTTTCTAGTATTTATTTGTGTGGGCCTCTATATTTCGTGAGTGAATGCCGCGTACTCTATATTGTATTTTATCCGAGTGTGAGTGTTCCGCGAGACAAGCGTATGCGCAAATTTTTATCCTGCGAGATATGCCGCACGCGGGCCCCTGGGCCAGTTTTAACTTCTTCCACGACGTCCACTTTTCTATGATAGGCCCAGGGGCCATAAAGCTGTGATATTTATATACTTATATTTATGACTGCGACTGGGATTAGTCCCCCAGCGCGCCCTGCAATGGCCCATTGGCGGGGGGTGGGGGCCTCTTGTCCCCCGCCCCTGATATTACTTAAGACCGGCGTGCGGCCTAAAGCCGTGCCTTTGATTATGTACTCTTGTACCCCGGGGGCTTCGCCTTCGGGGAATTCGTTTGTTTCACGAATCTGATGTCAGTTTTCCAAAATTCAAAATGGCAGATCCAGTATACCCGATAAGTTTTTGAAAATTGACCAGATTTGCCTAAAATTTGTTACTCGAGAGTTTTTGGGGTCGCTGAGTACGAATCTGATGTCAGTTTTTCAAAATTCAAAATGGCAGATCCAGTATACTGGATGTGTTTCTATTTGAATCTCCGCGTTATAAGGAAGCCTGTTTTGAGTTGTCAGTTCTTTTCGTTAGTAATTGCAGGAGAAGGAATGAAGTAGTTCTGTATAGAGAGTTCGCTTACGTTTAATGGTACAGTGGTTTTTGCTGTCACTAAATGAGTCACAATGCCTTGGCGCAGTAAAGTCTGCAGTAATATCGCAGAGGAGGGTGTGCTTACGCTCCTTATAATTATTCAGCGGACTTCGCGTAACGAGAGTATTAGCCTCGTGCGTTCACTGTGCGTGCTCGGAGCAGACTCTGTCCCCTACTCCCGAATTCGGAGCTTAGATCGCTACCGCAACTGGCGCTTTCGGTATCGCCCGATCACTGCTGTTCTCGTGCGCCTATTTTCACAACCATCTCAGACTCATTCCCGAACATGCCGCTCGCCTCTCTCCGAAGGAGAGATAGAAAATGTGTTATAACAGCGCGACCCTTATACGAGATCGAGTTATAAGATGAACTTAACTTACGTAGATCTACGATTTACAGATATATAACTTATAGATATATACGAGGGATTCAGCTTACACATACAACTTAAACCTAGGAGAAGATACTTATTAATCTATTTAATCTTGAAACGACGCAAACGAATACAAAGGGAAACGGATTGGGCACGCCGCCCGCCGTGTAACTACTCACTTTTCTGAGATTCGTTAAGAGAGATGGGTAAACGGCACAGTTTGGTGATGGGCCGCTTATAGATTCCCGAGACGGTTTTGACGTCTACCACCCGTACTCGTCCGTCTTGGTCCGGATACAACTTTTGTATCCGTCCCAGTTCCCACTTAGTAGGAGGTAGTAGCTCATTTCGCACAATTACAAGCTCGTCTTTAGCTAAGTTAGCACAGCTCTGTTGCCACTTTGTTCGCTGCTGTAAAGTATGCAAATAGTCTGTTGACCATACTTTCCAAAACCGTTCCTGTACAAGACGCACCCGCTGCCAACGATCGAGTCTTCCTTCAGATAGATCCAGCACTGACTGTTCCGGTACTGATATCAAAGGGCCTCCAATCAAAAAATGACCAGGAGTGAGAGAGGAAAGGTCATTGGGGTCATCAGACAAGGCAGCGATAGGCCGAGAATTCAAGCAGGCTTCTATTAGCGTTAAAAGAGTAGTGAACTTTTCGACGGAAGGAGTGTGAGAGCCCATTATTCGTTTCAAGTGATGTTTTACGGACTTAACTCCAGCTTCCCACAGACCTCCGAAGTGCGGGGCGGAGGGAGGAATGAATTTCCAAATCACGTTGTCGGTAGCCAGATGGGCTTGTAGATTCGTATCGCTAGAGAGTACTTTAAAAGCTCTGGCCAGTTCACGGTCGGCTCCGTGAAAATTGGTTCCGTTGTCGCTGTAAAGTACCGAAGGAAGACCACGCCGAGCCGAGAATCGTTTAAGGGTGGCTAGAAAGGCGCCGGACGAATAGTCATTTACCAACTCGAGATGAATCGCGCGAGTGGAGAGGCACACAAAAAGTGCAATGTACGCCTTATAGGTCTTTTGGCCGCGACCTACCTTGGGCAGAATTTTAAATGGACCGGCATAATCAACTCCACAATGCTGGAAGGGGCGCGCCGGAGTTACTCGCGGTTTAGGTAGCGAACCCATCAATTGGGTTACGGGGTCGGCTCGTTGGCGAACACACACTACGCAATTTCGTATGAGGGACCTGACCAAATTTCGAGCAGTTATTATCCAAAATTGTTGTCTTATAGTTCGGAGCGTCAACTGCGTTTCTCCGTGGAGGCAACGTTTATGGGCTTGCTCCGCTATGAGGTCCGAGATTCGGTGTCGAGGTAAAATGATGGGGTGTCTCTCTTCGAACGAGAAAGGCGCGTGTTCTAAGCGCCCGCCTACTCGTAATAGTCCGTCCGAATCAATGAACGGAGTCAAACCTTTCAAACGGCTGGATTGCGGTAGGGGTTTTGACAAATTAAGCGTTTTAATCTCTTCGGCGAAATATAGATCCTGGACCTTGGCTATCCAAAGGGAACGAGCTCGCCTAATGGCGTTAGCTAGGGAGATTGTTTCGCTTTTCGGGACGGTGCTCGAAGCGCCTACACGTTTTCTGAGGTTATAAGAAAATATCATGCAGTAAGCGGTTATTCGAAGAAGACGTGGCCACGAAGAGATTTCCGTCGGTAAGTCCCATTTGAGAGACTCGCGTTTTACTCTTAGAACCTGAACGCTCTTTCTTTCCGGGATAGTCTCTGCCGGCATCGCAGGATTATGCTCCGGCCACGAAGTAGAGTGTTGGCTGAGCCAAGGGGGTCCCTTCCACCAAAGCTGCTTTCCTCTGAGAGTAGTAGCTTCTACTCCTCTGGAGGCGCAATCAGCAGGGTTCAATTTTGATTCGACGTATCCCCATTTAGCGAGAGGTAATCGCGTTTGTATATCAGACACTCGATTCGCGACGAATGTTTTCCAGATGGACGGGTGCTGTCGCAGCCAGGCAAGAATGCTCTTAGAGTCCGACCAGCAATACACCGGCACGGATAGTAATTTAAGAGCAACTTGTACGAATTTAACGAGTCAAGCGAGCAGTGCAGCAGCGCAGAGTTCTAGTCTGGGGATGCTAACAGTTTTAATAGGTGCAATTTTGGTTTTACAAATCAGCAGAATTACGTCAAATTGATCCATGGAGGTTATTACTCTAATGTAAACTACAGCAGCATACGCTCGGCTGGAGGCGTCTGAGAATCCGTGTAGTTCAAGACCTAAAACTTCTGGGCCCTGCGTAGTCCACCGAGGGATAGAGATCTCTCGTAGCTGCTGTAAGCCGCAGTAATATGTATCCCACCACTCTAATAGGTCTGTGGGCAAGGGTGTATCCCAATCGAGTCTTCGCATCCACAGCTCCTGAAGAAAGATTTTTGCGGAAACTACCACGGGAGCGATCAAGCCTAATGGGTAAAAAATGCGTGAAATAATTGACAACACTGATCGTTTCGAAGCCTCTTTAGGCTTGCAAAACTTGAGCGAGAATGAAAAGGAGTCGTTGGAAGGATTCCAAGACAAGCCTAACGCCTTAATAGAAGCGTCTTCTTGAAAGGACACACTAGAGAGATCCAGACGTTCACTTACAGGCACATCAGTGAGAAGCTCCTCATGGCTAGACGCCCATTTTCTCAGCTGGAAGCCTCTTAATTTCAATAAATTATTTAATTGATCGCGCATTTCAAGTATTTGAAATTGTTTGTACGCTCCAAACAGTGCGTCGTCGACGTACGTGCTCTCCTCGAGCACCAACACAGCTAGTGGGAACCTTGCCCCTTCGTCAATACATAACTGTTTCACAGAGCGTTTGGCTAGATAAGGTGATGGTTTCTGTCCGTAAGTAACGGTGAGTAACCTGCCATGCACTATTGGGCCATTAGGACAGGGGCGCCATACTATCCTCTGATAGTCGGTATCAGAGGGATGCCGGATGGACTAATATTTGCCGAAACATTTTGGCAATGTCGGCAATAAATACGTATCGATGTGTTCTCCAACGTAAGAGTATAGAAGGAAGATCCTCTTGTAACTTAGGACCTGCTAGGAGTTGGTCATTTAAAGAAAAACCGACGTTAGTAGGGCTGGAAGCGTTAAACACAACTCGCAGCGGGATTGTACTGTTAGCTTCGCGAAGAACAGGATGGTGGGGCATGTAGAACGTCGAACTTCCAACTTGGTCTGAAGGCGTGATTCTAGTCATGTGCCCAAGTTGCTCATATTCAGTTAAGAAACGATTGTAGGCCTCATGCAAGGCAGGGTTTCTCGACAGACGAGTTTCTAGACGAATCAGAGATTTAACTGCAATCTGCAAAGAGTTCCCGAATTCAGTTACAGCATCCCTTTTGAAGGGCAGTCTGACTACATATCGCCCATTGGGGCGTCGATAGTGGCTTGAAACGAAAAGATTTTCGCAATATTCTTCTTCTTTAGTTAGCGGTCGCGTAAAGGGAATTTCCTCTAACTCCCAGAATTTGCGAAGTTCGTCGTCCACCAAAGGAGACACCGTGGCGTGCAGACTAGTAGTCTGGTCCACATTCCTAATGGAACTGTAAGGACCGAATATGACCCAGCCGAAGATGGTTCTCTGGGCAACTGGTTCTGTTTCAGAACCTTTGCGTAATCCCTCTAATAAGATAGAACCGTAGATATCCGCGCCTATCAATAAGTTAATACGGTCTTGGTTAGATGGATCCGCATCCGCTAATTGTAAATCTCGCAAGTGAGGGAATAGCTCGTGGTCGACCTTTGGCATTTGCTTATACGACGTAAAAGTAGGCAAAATGAGAGCTCGGGTATTAACATGGTAAAATTCGGAACCGCAAGAGCTTAATGTAAAGAATGTACGATAATTG